TGGTGTCTGCCTGCCTAGTTCCTGCCCTCACAGTATCAGCCTCCTTCAGCCCACCTGCTGTGTCACCTGCCCCCAACCCTGCTGCATACCTGACTCCTATGTGGCGTCTTGTTGGCTGCTCCACAGCTGCCACCCAACCCCGAACCTGAGCGGGATCTCTGTCACCACCTCTACCCAGCCCAGCAAGGCACCTTGCTGCCAGCCAGAGATGTTTAAGGGAACTTGCCCATGTTGCCCTAGGGGACAACAATTGCCGGTAAGACTGCTTAGACAATGTTTTAATTTGAAGCTTGGGAAGAAAATGTTCTGACCGCAGATCTTCAGTTTTGCAGAAGTGTTCTACATTTTGAACAATGATTTCAAACTAGAAGTAGAAGGTATGCTGTCACAGACCTTCGTATTTTAAATAAACCCCACTGCTTCCCAAACCATCTACTGTCTGAATGCTTCATGTTATAATTACCCGGTGACTCCTGACACACGCATGCATCATGAACTCATAAATATGTCCAGCAGGATTACACTTTCTGATGACATAGGCATAAAGCTCATACCCAAAAGGAGATCTCACAGGGATATGTAAATATCTGAAATAAATTGCCTGGATAATAAAATATACTAAGCCCTAGGCTTTGAATCATCTTCAATTCCAAGGTCAGCACTTACTTTTAATTTTTATTTTGTCCCAACCTCTTTAAGTAACTCATATATGTCCTTAAAGTCATTGAAAAAGCTGGCGATTAGAGATCAACTTAGACCCAGAATAGACCCCAAACATTAAACTGAGCCACATTTTTTCATTATCTGATTAAGTGAAACCTTGAATGTAAAACTTCATAATCTTTTGACAACTGTAAAACATTTTGTAGTAGTACCCCCACTATTTTGCAACAACAACAAAAAAACCTTCCTCCATCTGAATTGACAAATAGGGATGTTGTGGCCCAGTTGTTCTGTTGCCTAAAATACCTCTTCAAAAGACAATGAAAGTTGGGCCTCCCCTCGTGGTGCAGCGGTTGAGCACTGGGCAGCAAAGCTGCCCACAGCCTCTGCAGCACCAGTTCGGTCCCCGGCCGCTGGCCTAGGGTCCCACATGGCACAACAGACCTCTCCTGCCGCACCCGCTGCTCCCCTCAGCAGTGTATTTCATCAGTCTGTCTGTTCTGTTCCCCACTCTGGTGAATTCTCTCACCCTCCCGCACTTCTGACTGTACCCAGTGCTTATATAAGTAAATCTTAAAAAAAAAAAAAAAAGACAATGAAAGTGGACAAGTGACCACAGCCCAAGGGATGGTAGCCCAGAAAATAAGTAACCCTAAACTGGGTTGCCACGCCAATTCTTCTACCTTCCTTTAATTTCTAATTATTTTTTCCCCCTTTGCTGCTAATATATCCCTTGAAAAATTCTACCATGAAACTCCACCTAATAGTTACTTACCTACTGCTGCCTTTATCTAGAGAAGGAATGTTGTTATTATGTTAACCAGTGTGGACAGGTGATGTCCAACACAAGAAAACGTCAAGAACAAGCCACAAGACTTAGAAAAGTCTCTCCCCAAGGGGTGTGGGGGTTAGGGAGCACTGCAGTACAGACCGCCCATGGATACTACCTTTTCTGGAGTCCTTAGCAGCTGTATTTCTCACTCTCCTCTTTGGAACTTACATACTCAATCTCATTGTTAAATTTGTCTTCTCTCATTCAGAGACAATTTCAACTTGGACTACCCTTCCAAGAGGGACAATAGGCCCAAACACCCCCTGGACTCTGCCTACACCTCCCTCAGAACCAACAGTAGCAATCACCTACCAGCAAGTTCAGGGGCAAGCATTAGAGAAACCACTCCCCAGACCCCTTAGGTGGGGACAGCTCTATACCTCAATCCAATTTGAAGCAGTTATAGAAGACCAGTCTCCCTTCTTCAACTCCCCAAATGATTTCAAGCTGGATGTGGTCAGGGGCAGTTTAATGGAAGTGTAAAGTAGAAAATTTAGGTGAAAATTTCTCAAGTCCAGAAATTAGACTTGGGAGTGGAAAAGATTAATGAAAAACAGCCCAAGCTGATCCCAAAGTGATAAATTTCATAAAGTGATAAAATTCTACAAAGTAATAAATTCCACCAAAGAATAATATATAAGGACATCTTGTGCTCTGGCAAAAGTCAGCTCTTTCCCTTTAAGAGCTGCCCATTTGTGGGCCTCCCTCGTGATGCAGGGGTTAAAGACTCAGCACTATCAAGCTATCGCCAGCCACTGCAACATGAGTTCAATACCTGGCCAGGGAGCTGACATGGCGCAGAAGACCTCTCCTGTATTGCCTGCTGCTCAGTTCAGCAGTGTATTTCAGTAGATCTGCCTGTTCTGCTCCCCACTCTGTCTCTGGTGAATATTTTCACCGCCCCCACCTCTGGCCTATACCGCTGTTCTTGTATGCATAAATAAATTTTAAAAAAATCTAAAAAAAAGGAACTGCCTATTTGTGTCTATGCAGACATCTTTTTTTAAATAAATTTGCAGTTGCCACTGAATGGACACTCTGCTGAATTCTTTCTCAGAGTGATTCAAGGACCCCAAATGCAGCACCCCAACAATTTCACAAAAGAAATTAATCACTCTGCTTATATAAGGTATTATTATTATTATTATATTATTCAGGCTATTCTGAAAATGAAATATACCTTTTTCATTCAATCTTTCATTTCATTCAATTTAGTAAGCATTTATCAAATGCCTACCATATGCCAAGCATTATCCTAGGTGCTTGACAGAGACAAAGAGTAAGATATGATCCTCACTTTCAAAGAACTTGCATTGGAGTAAGAAAGACAAATATAAATTATAAACTATAATATGGATCAGAATAAAATGAGGTCTAAATGCAGAGACAGATAGCACTTGGTGAGGGCTGAGAAAAAAAATGAACGCATCTAGAAGAACCATGGACAGATAAAGTTTCTTTAGGAGGAAGATATTTGAACTGATGCTTGAGGTTCAAGTAGATTTAAGAAATAAAGAACAAAAGTAGATGACTGGATCAAGAAGATGTGGTACATATACACAATGGAATATTACTCAGCTATCAAAAAAGATAAACTCATGCAATTTGCAGCAACACAGGTGGAGTCAAAGGGATCATGCTCAGCGAAATAAGCCAGAAAGAAAAAGAAAAATACCAGATGGTCTCACTCATAGCAGGAATTTAGAAAACCTAAATAAGGGACCAGGAAAAAACTAACTATAATAAAGAAAAAATCAAAATCAACAAGCAACTATAAACCAGAGATACACTACGCCGGGGGGTGATGGGGAGAGAAAGGATTAGGGTCAAAATAAGAGGGGTGTAATTGTATGGGGAATAGAACCAAAATGAAAATGCATACATTATGCAAAAATGAAAAATGGTGTAAGAATTATATAAAATAAAATATTAAAAAAAAAGAAATAAAGAACAGGGCAAGGACATTTTAACAAACAATAAGATCATAGTCACATGGGTGTAAAGTACGGGGAGACTCTAAGCTTCATTGTATTTGATGGGCTTTACGATAACTATCAATATGTAAGCAAAATTCAAAGTAACTTCACTAACAAGTTCTTCTTCTCATAAAACATGAGACTCACTCACCAATAACACTAAGTATTTTCCACTGACATGTTTTAAACAACTGTCTACTCTTTTAAACAGGCTACATTGGATTTTGGTAATGTCCCCCCAGAAACAACCCATCAAGGTGTCCTTGTGTTTTTTTCAACAACCATTTGCCACCCAACATATTATGTAATTTAGATTCTACTCTCTGAATAGTTTTGTGCTGATCATGGGGAAGTACGTAAAGATGTTGGAATCATAGACTATTGCATATTAAAGATGTGCAATAGCCTCATTGCCAACCTACAGAAAGGTAAATCAAAGCCAAGTAAGGTGAAGAATATTGCAGAAGGCATTCTGTAAAGGAATTTACAACCCCATTCAAGACCCATTGTATTAAAACAAATAAGCATGCTAAGTAAGGAGTAAGTAAGTGAAGAAAAATGATTTCTATGACTGCCATAGTACTAAATCACTAATTCTGATCAGACCACTTCCCAACCCACTTCTTTTTCTGTAAATCCTACAGTTTCTCCTTTTAGTTACTGTCTCATCTCATTTGAAAGTAAGGACATCATTCATTTGAAAATAAATGACCACTAAGTAGACTTCTTTTAAAGGCAAATTAGCAAAAGAAAACAACTAGGAAGATCTTTCCTTCCAGGGCATCAGAATCACTGCAAGATTGGCATGACTTTGGAAAAAAGAGACCTTTTTTTTTTTTTAAAAAAAAAAAGAACCTATAGAATAATACAACCCTTAGAATTTGACTGTAGATTTATTAACAATAATGAATAGGTGTCTCATCTTATTCCATTCTGTCACCTTGCTTTGCGAAATAGAATGTGAATAGTAACACCAGAAATAAGACAAATACATCTGAAACACATATAGTTCGGTGCAAACTTCATCTTTGAGTAACTATGTCCTTGTTGATTTTATTGAGAACAAAGTGGTCCAATTAATCATTTGAGTGGCATGTTCTAAAATTAGTACTTCCAAATGACATCATGCTTTGCATAGCATTTAAAATTGAAGGGGAAACAAAGAGAAGAATTAACTTCTGAAATTACAGCTGAATTGACCCTTGAACTGATGACCCATAGTGAGGCCTGACATGCCAGGACCCTGTGAAAACAAAATATGCCCATTTTATGACAAAAATGACAGCTCAATGAGTCAAAAACATGATTGCACCAATAAGGACAGGGGCTCTTAGTGGACAAGTAAATACCAAATGGATTAGTGAATCTTAGTGAAAGAGCCTCATAAACAAACGTCAGAACAGGGAGCCTTCTGGTTGGCCCAATAACAGTTGAGTGAGTATATAAGAGCCCCAGAACAGGAGGAGACATTAACATTTCTAAAGACTCTTCCTTCTCCCCAACTACAAACCAACCAGATTCCCAGGGCCATGTCTTGCTGCTGTGCTCCCCGCTGCTGCTGCAGTATCCCCACCGGCCCCGCCACCACCATCTGCTCTTCTGACAAGTGCTGCCGCTGTGGAGTCTGCCTGCCCAGCACCTGCCCACACACCACCTGGCTGCTGGGACCCACCTGCTGTGACAACACCGCCCCACCCTGCCACATGCCCCAGCCCTGTGTGCCCACCTACTTCCTGCTCAACTCCAACCAGCCCACCCCAGGCATGGAGACCCTCAACCTCACCACCTATGTCCAGCCCTGTGGTGGTGACCCCTGCACTCCCAGATGCTGCTGCTGAGAGGTGGCTACTGACCATGAAGAAGCCAGAAGAAGGGTCTGTTCCATTATCACTTGCCTCCATGGTTTATCAGAAGTAGAGGCCAACTGGACAACCCAGATAGAGAAAATCTACCATTTGTTTTAATGGAAAAAGAATCAAGAATTTGTTTCAGGTTGTTTGCCTGAATAACCGTTTGGTTCATTTGGGCAGGTGAATGCCATCTAATATCAAGAAGCTCTTGAAATCCTTAGACCGCTGACTCTATCTTCTTGGTTATGTTGCTTCTTGGATTAGATGTATTCATCAAGGAAAAATAACAACTTCTTAATGGGTTTTCCAATAAATTATTTCTCTGGCTAAATGTGTGTTTGTTTATGTTAGAGCTTTGTGGTTCTTTCATTATTTCTTACACTTTAAAATAAGTGAACATGAGATGATTATTATATTTTTAAAAGAGAATCTGTTGGAGAAGTGACAAGAACGCACTTTAACAGTGTGTATTTTAACTGTTTAGCCTTCAAGTTCAGCACCTCCTCATTGCTCTTCCTCAGACAAACACAGGGTGAGACATCCTTTACTACTTTTGCAGTACCATGTGTATTACTTTCACAGGTGAACCACATGTATTAATTCAATCGATCCAGCATTAAAAGATGAGAAAGATGAAGCCTTAACAGTTATCCAACATTTTCCAGTCATAAAATTAGGTACTAAGGAAACTAGAACTCAGGTCTTTATCTGCCTTTAAAACTCAGTTTTTGGGTTTATTTTGGCTTAATTTTGTCTCTTCCTTTGTTTGGTTTCTCTCTACTCCACATAGGAGCGAAATCATGTGGGATTTGTCTTTCTCCTGACTTATTCCACTGAGCATGTTCCCTTCCAGTTTCATCCACATTGTGACTCTCGCGTTAAGGCTACCAGAAGTGGAGGGTGACTCTGGGCCCCCTGGACTCTGGTGGGGCATCATGGGTGCTGTGGTGGTGGGTGTGGGTGGTGACATACATCTGAAAACGTGTGAAGCTCTACCCCTAAGTCATACACAGTGTTGTCAACCAACCACATCACTGAACCTCCTCTACTAATGGAGCCAGAAGCTTAATGCACAAGGTATGACATCTTAAAATATGCAAAGAAATAAAAAGCATAAGAGCCTTTAACCAAATCAGCACATGCAAGAGGAATAGAAAAAAGGACATGTTGGTTTGTGGATTAAGAGTGGCTGTTCTCCGGTTCTTATGGCTCCTTTGGTGGGCCTGCCAATTTTTACTTGATTTTCCCTCAGAGAGACTTAAATTAGCAAATTCTAGTAACAGGCCCAAAGGGACACATTCCTTCCTGTGACTATTCTCCACAGAGAAGCTCTACCCCAGTCATCAATAGAATGACAAGCTGGGAGCTAAAGCTAAAATCTTTTTTTTTAAAAGATTTATTTATTTATTTATACAAACACTGGGTACAGTCAGAAGCGCGGAAGGGTGAGAGAATTCACCAGAGCCAGAGCAGGGAGCAGAGCAGGCAGAAGGACCAAAGTACACTGCTGAGGGGAGTAGCGGGCAGCAGGAGAGGTCTGCGAGCCATGCGGGACCCTCCTCCAGTGGCCAGGGAGCAGCCAGGGATCGAACCGGTGCTGTAGAGGCTGTGGGCAGCTTCGCAACCCAGCGCTCAACTGCTGCACCACCGGGGAGGACCTAAAGCTAAAATCTTGATGAAACACAAATTTGATGTTTAATCCACTATTTCATTTATTCGACTTTATCATCCTACTTAATTTTATCTAGAGCATATTTTCCTTCTCCCAACCTTAGAGAAATTGTGTATATATGTGTATATATGCAACACCTATATCTAATGTAATATACATGTAATATATAGATACCATATGTAAACACACAAGTCAAAATCTAAAAATGCATTGAGACAAGACCAAAAGAATGCATATGAAAAAGTAAGAGGTGGGGCGAGGAAGGGGGAAGCAAATGTCTTTAAACAAACATTTTTAAATGTCCTCAGTGTACCTGTCACTGTAGCAGACCCTGCAGGCTTATTAGTAGCTCAACTTTGAATGAACAGAGCTAAGAAGCCATAGGTGGGTGAGGCACAACCAGGATGCCATCAACAAGGCATCCCTTTGCTCATTCATTTGCCACAAGTACCTTGCTGGGCCAGGCACCATATCTGTGCCAGGAATAGAAAAATTAAAGAAATATTATTACCTAAAATGTCTGCAAGTTTCTCTCAAATCTGGTAAGGAGACAGACAAGCTATTATAAACCCCAATACATGTGTTTCATATACTTTGTATGGATGTAGTTATAACACGGGGTGATTCCTGCTGTGACCCAGATGTGAGCGGCGCAAGCCTGGCAAGAAAGAGTTAACTGCGACCCGGATTTGGTGATTCAGCTTAGGACAAGGGACAGTTCTGAAAGCCTCTGAGCCAGCCAGATTAAGCATTAAAGGATGACAGGCCAGCCGCACCAGGTCTAGTGCAGTCTGCTAGCTCAGGGATGTGGTAAAGACGAGGAGAGGATGAGCAGGGGGAGAGAAATGCGAAGACCTATGAAGCGGGGCTTCCCAAGGAGAGGGCCTTAGATGGATTTGAAGCAAGAGATTGACATAATCCCACTTTGCTTCCAAGTATTTATCTTTACTATTGATCTTTATGTAGCCACGGTTACAGAGAGTCCTCTCCATACAGAACAGGGTAATTAAAACTTGGCGTGTGTGTGTGTGTGTGTGTGTGTGTGTGTGTGTGTGTGTGTGTGTGTTCTGCTCCTTGAAAATCTACCACTTAATCAAGAATACCATGTTGTTCCTGTGTTTCCTTTGTTTCCACAAATAAAATGTTTCATTCCTCTGACACACCCTTTACACTGACCTTTTCAACCACATAAAAAGTAGCTCACCCTAATAGGTGCTATATTTACTTGTTAATAAGCAGTCCCCAGGCCATTTAAGGCAAATGACCTCACCTCTCTGGGGCTCACTACCCTAATTTATAAACAAAGGAGAGTAATTCCCAGGTCTCTCAGACCATCACAGAGAAAATACATTTTAATAAAGTTCCGCAAGTCTTTTCAATAAAAGAAATGACTTTATTACCATGAAGTCACTATTTTATATGTATTTCTAACTTGTAAGGCTGTCTTATTTATGATAATGGGAGTGTAATATTCTACATGGAACAGTAAAGATTCCTTTCTCCTTATCGAGGAGACTGGAAGTGGCCGAGCTGTCTACCCACAAGGCCTCCATCTTCCCGTTGTGAAATTCTATTTGTCAGCGCCTGCAACCCCTTGATTATGTTTTTCTTAAAAAGCCAAAATAATTTTCTTCTGCTTACTTTTTCTGCCTTAGATCTCAGTCTGTTTTCCTTTTGCTTATCATGTGTGATACCGTCATTTATAATAATATCTGGTATGTGATAAAGCTTCCCCCAGACCAAATCCCAAGGGAGTAGGAATGATGTCTGTTTTGTTCACTGCCATGTGACCAACATTTATCACAGTGCCTGGCACTGTGATATGTCTATTGGGTTTTTTTATTTATTGATCTTTAACTGACGTAATGCTGGGGTAACCCCATCTGGTATTAGCACCATAGTGCACCCACCACCAACTCACCCATATTCCACCCCCATAGACCATTGTGTTCCTTCCCTCTTTGTTATTTTTTTAATACTAAAGAAAATATTAATCAGTCCTAAGTAAAAGGATGAGAAATTCAACAATTATTCAAATTACTCAAAGGTAAATGTGGGCGAGTCCAGGGACACTTAGGGATAATCATAATCTTTTTCTTCCAAGCAGAACTATATAAACTTTTTTCATTCTGAAATTTATTAATTTACTTGACATTCATTTTCTCTAATTGTAGGTGTGAACTTTGAGATAAATTTTTGCTACATCGTATATAGTTACTCTTGCTTATCTGCTTTTTCTTCTTCAGTATTTCTGTCCCCTTTCCTTTACCTAGCATTTGACCTGCAACTCACGCAGATAATAGTAAACTATTGTTGCATTGAGATTTATGTTTTTTGTGGACATTAACACATTTTGTTCTCACAATAATCTCCAAGTGGAAGAATGTATTTTCCTTAGTTTGCAGAGGAGAAAAACAAGGCCCCGGAATGTGAATCACTTGCCATACAAGAAAGGCAATGAGCAAAACTGGAGTCAGAGCAAAGCCCCCCGACCCCGACTCCTACCTGGTCCTCTTGAGGCCATAGCCCCTCCAAAAAAAACACAAAAAACCATGTGGACTTGCCCACCACCATGTACTGGGCACCAGATGCAGGTGTACTTCAAGGAAGCGGTGGAGAGAAAGTGGGCTAACCTTGGCTTGAAGGATGAGAGGTTACGGTTGAGTGGGAATGGTGTGAGTACTAGGATGGTCCCTGGCAACCCCCCTCCCCCCTCCCCCTGTGTGCTTTCTCTTCTACTGAGCACAGCCCGAAGCCTGAATGCTATGCTGGAACCAGAGAGCAGGCATTTCCTCCACACTGGGTCTGGCTTGAGAAACTCAGGCACAGAGATGGAAATAAAAGCTGAATGAAATCAGATGTTTTCAACAGAAAGACAAATAACCAGTGCACGCAGGAAAGAATGTCTTCCAACTGGTTATGAAATAAATACAAATATAATAAAAATGAAATTTCAACTTTCACCCTCCAAATTGGAAAGCACTTTTAAATACCCACCAAATGTGGGGAATCAGGAATTCTCAAACACAGCTAGTGGGAATACATAAATAGAATTATATAAATAGAATTAAATAAGTAGAATTTTAAAAGGTAATGGAGGGCAGAATGGCAATGAATATCACAGACCTTAAAACATTGTTAATTAACATTTGCTCCAATAAGTATTTCTGTTTCTAAAACAATCATAAATGTGCATGAAGTTCTGTATATACACTGGTTCTCTACTGCCACAGTTACCACAGAGAAACATTGACAATAACCTAAATGATTAATAATATGAAACAAGTCATATGATTGATGCTAGACAACATTAAAAATAACATTATCAGATATGCTTAACAATACAAGATAATAAAAGCATGTGTTTAAGCATAAAAGCAAGTTATAGGATTATAGATAAAATATAACTCCAAAAATGTAATAAAACAATAAATGAATAGAAAAATTACCAGAGAGAGATATGCAAATATGGATAGATAATTTCTCTTGGTGATAAAATGACAGATGTGTTCATTTCTTTATGCTTTTCTATATTGTTCAAAGTTTTAACGTGAATATATAACATTTTATCATCAGAAACTTAACAATAGGCATCTTTCTGAAGTCTGCTCAGATTTCTCAAAGTAATTTTCATCTTGGAAAGTCCCAGAGCTGAAAGAAAGTTACTAAAATTAAGCCCAGCTTAATAATAATTATTCGGCCCCATTGATCCAGGTGAAGGTAGAAGAATAAAACCAAGCAGCAGCAGAGGAAAGACCCCCCACACCACAGCTCTTCCCCAGCAGAGCTGGTGTTGGAATCATAATTGCCAAAGCCTTTGTAAGACCTCATAAAGCATGTGTTCCAGTGACAAATGGCAAGAGTAATCACTAAAGATTTAGCAAAGAACTCAAATAAAATGTAATTAGGAGAATAAAGACTCTTTACAAGCATCTAAATGTCAAACCAATCAAAGGATAATGGGTCCACTAACATAAACAAGAACCAGGAAAGAAGCCTTCTGGTTGGACCAACACCCACTGGGGAAGATATATAAGAATCCCAGAGCAGGGAGACACTCACAACTCAGAAGCCTCCTCTTTCTTTGAACCAAACAAATCAAACACCACAGATTCCCAGGGCCATGTCTTGCTGCTGTGCTCCCCGCTGCTGCTGCAGTGTCGCCACCGGCCCCGCCACCACCATCTGCTCCTCTGACAAGTGCTGCCGCTGTGGAGTCTGCCTGCCCAGCACCTGCCCACACACCACCTGGCTGCTGGGGCCCACCTGCTGTGACAACACCCCCCCACCCTGCCACATGCCCCAGCCCTGTGTGCCTTCCTACTTCCTGCTCAACTCCAACCAGCCCACCCCAGGCATGGAGACCCTCAACCTCACCACCTATGTCCAGCCCTGTGGTGGTGACCCCTGCACTCCCAGATGCTGCTGCTGAGGGGTGGCTACCTCGACACTGCCTGACATTGAAAGAGTCAGCCCAGAAGCCTCATTGCTCACCTGTCTCTGTACCTGCATAACTGACCCTACACTCTAAGCTGAAACAAGATGGCACTGTCACGGATAACCCCTCTACCCGCAAGAAAAAGACAGCAAGAGACTTTCGATGATCAGTAACCCAGTGCAGTCTGAATAGGTGGATGGATGCCTGTGGCTTCCCAAAATTTTCAAGTCTTTCATATGAAAAGGTGTATCTTTCTTTGGGTGCTCTGGGAATTCTGTTTCCAGTCTTGGGTGGTGTCTTTCTGGATATTGAGAAGCTTCTTCATGATCTTCCCAATAAATTTTACATCTCTGGCATAGCACAAATGTCTACAATTTATTTATTTCTGTTAATTCATTAAATGTATTTCTTAACCCCCAAAATCAGCACTTTAAGAAAAATGAAGGAAATCTGCAAAACTGAAGATGATGGCACAAACAAGTATTTCTTGCTAATTGTTCATGCTATTTTAAGAAAACTAAATGGTCTTACATATAAGATGGTCTAGCATAGCATATCTGGAAGTAGACTTTCCCTGACTTGTGTTTTAATAAACAGGCTTAAGGTAGGCTGGAAAACTGAACATGATCTGAAGACCAAGTGCAGCATATGACATATCAACTAATCCAGGTTACCTGGTTATATTTACACAAAAAATTAATAACATAGCAATATCATTATTCACTCAATGGTCATTTACTAAATACCTATTTATGTGCCCTGCAATTTATTGTCCTTGCTTGCAATGAGCTGGCAAATACACACGACCCAATCATTCCTTCATACAATTAACAATTGTTCACAGAATGTTACGCAGATATTATAACAAAAAATATAGGTGTTCCACAGGTACTACCAGTAAAGTGCTATGGTTCCATAAGGGACCAGGAAAATGAATAACTATAAGAAAGTGAAAATCAAAATCAACAAAAATCTATGAACCAGAGATACTTTTGGGGGGGTGGGTGGAGGGAGGGGAGGGATTGGGGTCAAAATGGGGGGGTTGAAATTGTATGGGCATATAAAAATAAAATTTATTATAAAAAAAAAAAGAAAAGAAAATAATAATCCCAGTTTAAAAAAAAAAACTGAGAACAATTTAAAAATGGAGATTGACTTATTTCACTGAGCATGATCCCTTCCAGCGTCATCCATGTTGCTGCAAATTGCATGTGTTTATCTTTTTTGAATGCTGAGTAATATTCCATGGTGTATATGTACCACATCTTCTTGATCCAGTCATCTATTTTTGGGCATTTGGGCTGTTTCCAAAGCTTAGCTATTGTAAACAGTGCTGCTATAAACATAGGGGTGCATGTGTTCTTTGGAATTGATGTTTCTGTGTTCTTTGGGTAAATACCTAGGAGTGGAATTGCTGGATCCTGTGGAAGCTCTATGTTTAGTAGGTCCAGAAGCCAAAAAGAAAAAGAAAAATACCGGATGGTCTCACTCATAGCAGGGATCTAGAAAACTTAAATAAGGGACCAGGAAAATAAACTATAAGAAAGTGAAAATCAAAATCAACAAAAACTATGAACCAGAGACAGTTTTTGGGGGGTGGGGGGCGGGAGGGGAGGGATTGGGGTCAGAATGGGGGGATTGCAATTGTATGGGGAATATAAAAATAAAATTTATTAATTAAAAAAAAATAAAAATAAAAATAAAAAATAAAAATGGAGATTGATTTCTGCAATGCAATAGGGAGAGAGGAGAAAACCTAGTCAAGGACAAATTGACTGGAGCTGATAGTCAAAGAGATGAGACAAGTGTCAAAGAGAGATTAAGGACTCTGCTAAGGAGCAGAGTTATGGCACCCACTGAACATGGGGACAGAGAAGGAGTAGGTCTTAAAATGGGAAGTCCTGTATGCTCCAGGCATGTCAAGCTTGAGGCACAAGTGGGATATCTAAATGAAGGTTAGGCCGCTGGAATTTTGCACAACAGTGTTCTAGAGAGGAAGAATATGTATAAGGGAAGGTGCAGAAATCTGTGAAAACACTTATATCAAGTAAGTGCAAAGGGCTGGGTTGCATGTACACAGGATGAAATTCCATAAGGTTCCTGGGGGTAGCAAACCTTGAGTAAAGAGCATACCAAATCAGGGGCCTCCCTGGTGGCCTAGTGGTTAAGTCTCAGCACTATCATCAATAAGACCCTCGTTCAATCCCCAAGCAGGGAGATACCCACATGGCACAGCGGAGCTCTCCTGTCTCGCCCACTGCTCCCCTCAACAGTGTATTTCAGTGGATCCACCTGTTCTGCTCCCCACTGTGTCCTCTCACCCCTCCCCCACATCTCTGGTCTACACCCCAGTTTTTCTACATAAAAATAAATAAAATCTTTAAAAAAAAAAAAAACATGCCAAACCACACCTTCCCTAGAAAAGTCTAAACCAAGCCCAAGAACATCAAGTGGCTCTTCCAGTGACTTAACTTCCTGTCAGACCAAAACTCATCACTGCAACATAATCAAAACTTCCTAAAGTATACCATCCAGAATGAACAACAGCTAATTAAAATTCTCAAGACATGTGATGAAGCAGGAAAGTATCATCCCTAATCAAGACAAAAGCAGCCAACAAAAATAGGTCTATGGATACATGGATAATAGAATTAGCAAACAAGGATTTTGAAATTGTTATTCTATTTTCATAGATTTAAAGGGAAAGATGAACAAGATATGAAAGGCAAAAATTGTTCAGGATGAGGACTCTCACCAGAAAAGTAAAATTTCACACTTTATGTAATAAATTAATAACAAATAAATTTAATTTGCTTGAATTAAATAAGAGAAGCAAATGAGAATTCTAGAACTAAAGAATGCAATCTGAAATAAAGAATTCAATAGATAGAAGATTGGATGTTGCCAATTATGGGTGAAATCAATGAATTAAAGTACCTCAAGATAATCCTTTTTTTAAAAGATTTTTTTATTTATTTATGCATACAAGAGCTGGGGCCACAGGCCAGAGATGCGGGGGAGGTGAGAGGATCTACCAGACACAGAGTGGGGAACAGAACAGGCAGATTGACCGAAATACACTGCTGAGGGGAGCAGCGGGCAAGTCAGGAGAGGTCCACTGTGCCATGTGGGTAGCTCCCTGGCTGGCCAGGGATCAAACTCATGCTGCAGAGGCTGCGGATTGCTTCATAGTGTGGTGCTTAACCCCTTGCACCGCCAGGGAGGCCCTTGTGTCCACTTTTAATAAAGCTATGCCATCATGAAACTTACCATACCACCAGTCATTTCAAAGGGAAAACTACTTTTGCATGGTGCCTGGCTGTGTAAATTACTGATAAAAAGAATGCAGTATTCAGTTATGCCTTAAAGTTCCTCAAGATAATCTTAAGAGAAATCAAAATTATCAAAACTAAAACAGAGAAACAAAAGATTGAATAAAATGAAAAGAATCCAAGCAGCATATGATGAGTATCAAGTAGCCCAACATACATTAAATTGGAATTTCAGAGAGGCAGGAAGGAGAGCTTGTAGTATAAATGTAAAGAAAATCACTAAAATCAAACCCAACTCTTCCCAATGAATAAAAAAATCCTGAGATTGTTTTAACATCTTTATTTAAGATCTGGTTTGGTTTTAGTTTTTTTTGTTTTGTTTTGTTTTGTTTATCCTCACCTTCCTATTGTCAGTACCTAGGAAGCAGTGCTCAGAGATAGAAAAACAAATTCATTCTAGATCAGGCAAGTTTAAGTTTTTCAAAGTAAAGGGGTTTTCCCTTATAATGATCCTATAGATTCAGGAGGCAATTTGCTCTGCACACATTTGAAAATGAAAATAAATACCACAATTAAAGACAAGAGAAGTGAAATATATTATACTTCATAATGAAGATGTAATTCAAGGGAAGATTCAAAAGGAGGACATCACAAATCCCTGCCTCCCCCCGCTACCCCGAGTACTTCAACGGAGATTTCGTTCAATGGAGTTTCTGGTATGTAACCCACAATACAAAATTGTATTCTCCAGTTCCAATATTTTACGTTTCATGAAACTAGTCTTCAAAAATGCATATATACAGGCCTCCCTGGTGGCACAGGCGGTTGAGCACAGCTCTATGAAGCTCTCTGCTGCCTCTGCAGTGCCAGTTCCATCCCTGCCGGCCACGGAAATACCCACATGGCGGGGCAGACCTCTTCTGTCTCGCCTGCTGCTCCCCTCAGCAATGTATTTCAATCATCACTCTGCCTGTTCTGCTTCCCACTCTGGTGAATCCTCTCACCATCCCACACATCTGGCCTGTACCCCATTCTTGTATAAATAAATAAATCTTTTTTAAAATGCATATATAAAAGTAAATACACATACAAACATATAAGAAAACAGATTCGTATCTCAGAAGAAAAGCCTTCTGTGGCTTCCTTGCCCCTATTCTGAAATATAACCAAAGAATTTCCCAAGTAACCAAAAGATTGTAACTTAGAATTTATATTTCACTCTTATTAGAGATACAGGTGAAAAACTGTAGTCCCCATCTAAAAATGCCAGGAAGGGAGATGTGAAGAAGACAGGTTTCATGGAATCAAAGATCACAGTTCCAGGCCTTGATAACCAGGTTAAATGTTAGCCTGGAGGATATCACTATGCCTCTCAGTTATGTAAACAGACTTTTCAATTTGCATATATGCAGCTAAGGCACACACACACACACACACTTTAAACCTAGTACATACCTCACTTCTCTACCATTTGAGCAAAGCAAGACCACAAAAAAACACTGCAAAGAATGGTTAATCACACAGAACATTTTTATGGCAGTTGCACAAATAAACGGTAGTTAACGAGTAACAATATTAATTTTAAAAAGAGACGTCAATAATTTTCCTTGCACAGTATCAAAATCTCTGGGACTACTGTTTTTCTTATTTATAATGGGTCATGGCTGTAATTACTGATGGGTCAAATTCTCTCCTTTCCTTATTCTGTCAAAAAAGACAATGTTTCTTCCCATGAAAATTTTCTGGACCATATATTTTATCCCACAGGCACATGGAAATGGTGTCCTTATTTAGTAACCTGAAGTTACGTCTCTTTTATGAGGCATATAATTCCTCCTCAACAAATAAACAACACTAATGAAATGTTTATACGTAAACTGGCACAACAATGATAAAGAAAACATCCGGTGCATTCTGTAAATACCCATTTGGGGGGCTATATAAAAGTCTCAGGTGCATCGCTGACTTTTGGAGTCAGGCGACTGGTGCTTTGCAGCTGGCCTTTGTTCTTCGCTCTGAATAGGATGACTTCTGACTGTGCCCCCACGTGCTGCCCTTCTGAGTCCTGCATCAGGGCTTCTGATTGTACCTCTGCTTCAACCTGTTGCATGGAAACCACATGTCTCCCCAGCGCCTGTGCTACACCCAGATGCCAGACCCCTAGTTTCCTATCCAGGTCTTGCTTGGCAACCGGTTACCTGGCACCATGCTATATTGCGAGGAACTGTAACATTCCGGGTGTGGTGGGGACCTGTGCTTGGTGCGAGGATGGGGTATTCAACAGCAATGAGAAGGAGACGATGCAGTTCCTGAATGACAGACTTGCCAACTACCTGGAGAAGGTGCGTGCCCTGGAGGAGATGAATGCAGAGCTGGAATGCAGGATCCGAGAGCAGTGTGAAGACGACATCCCGTTGGTGTGCCCTGATTATCAGTGCTTTTTCAACACCATTGAAGATCTCCAGCAAAAGGTGTGGTGTCCCATGGCCCTTACGCTACACCTTGCCAATCTGTGACTTGCATTACCTTTATATTAGAAGAGGCTGTTCTGTGCAAGGAAACCTGGGAAAGGGGAGTTCCCCAAAAGGGAAGGGGTGCAGAGGACAGGACTGGGCCCAAAGTCAGGAATTAACAGCAGCACTGGCCCCAAAGCTGGTTCTGGTTATCTATAAAATGAGGGAAAACTAGTTTCCGTCTAATGCAACATGGTACCTTGATATAATTTTTACATCAATACTGAAATGTCATCTTTGTAATCATAAAATTTCACCTAATGCCCATTTTCTTATTAAATTTTTATTTCATGGATCACATATAATCCTAATACAAACTATTATGGCAAAAATTGAACTGAGTTCAACTACCAAGCGGTATTGCAAAATGTCTTAAGTCTTTAGAATGTCTAAAGGTCCTTAGGTCCTTTTAATTTTTCTCTTTTGGTTGGGAAATAAGCTGGCACCATGAGCGACATGGCTAATGAGAAAAGTAGACTGAAAGCTATTTTACATGTTCTCATAAAGACTTTTAAAAGATAAACAATGGCATAGATGTTCAATGAAGAGATATTTAGTTTTCTTTCAAAGAAACATTTATAACTTAACTTATTTCCCAGATCTTGTGCACAAAGGCAGAAAATTGTAGACTTGCTGTACAACTTGACAACTGCAAACTAGCTGCTGATGACTTTCAGTCAAGGTAAGCTGAAATTGAAATTGAAAATAATTTATATCCACCCCCCCAATACACACACACACACACATCATTGGAAACAGTCTCTAAAGAATTTTAATTTTTTTTTTTTGCTGAAATAGCATTGCATCATAACATTCTACGTTTCATGTGTGCATTCTTAAGAATCGACATGTGTGCGCACTGCATTAAATTCCACCACTAAACGTCCAGTTCTGTCCTTCACCATACAGTGGACCCCTTTCACCAGGTTTACCCACCGTACCCCCGCTCCCTTCCAGTTCATAACTAACTGGGCTTTTGTTTTGTTTAGTGCATCTGCCCACTTCTGGGTCTTTATCTAAAAAAGCATAAAATATTTTGTTAGCTAAGAAGGCTTGCAAAGCTCAAGTTTGTCATTAGTGGGGATGTAAAGGCCACTCGGGCACGTGGCTTCCTCGAGTCCCGAGTCATCAGGACCCCCAGACTCCCGGCGCAGCATCCAGTGAAGTAAGCCCGGCTCTGTCTCTTTTGCTGCGGAAGGTACGAGTCTGAACTGTCTCTTCGCCAGCTGGTGGAGGCTGACATCAGCGGTCTGCGGGGGATCCTGGGTGAACTGACCACATGCAAAGCCGATCTGGAGGCCCATGTGGAGTCTCTGAAAGATGACCTGATTTGCCTGAAGAAAAACCACGAAGAGGTGAGAAAGGTGGCAAAACAGCTGAAGGTCAGCTGTGAGGGACAGAGTTACAGGTTCAGATTTCCTGTTGCAGACATAGCGCACCCTTAGTTTGGGTTGCTTCAGCCGGAACAAATTACTTGAGGCTCTTCCTCACAGCCCTGTGTCTCCGGGTGTGGATGTGACACAATCCCTGGCTGGGTTGTGTCCTGCTTTTGTGCAGGACGGAACTCCACAAATGGCTCTCCTTGAAGGCTTTATGTCCTTCCTACCTCCAATCCATCAGGTCTGAAAATCAGGCTGCGAAACAGCGTGAGGCCATTTCCAACAGGGGATAAAGATTCAGGCAATTGTTTTTTTAATTCTGCAAATGTAAACCTTAAAAGCATTTGGTTATTCCATGTTGAAGAAGCTGGTAAAAAAAAACAAACAAAAACAAAAAAAAAACTGCATGATGTGACGAAGTCTTTTTTCCCTTTGGATGTTTGCTGATAATATTAACAGCTGACATCTCCAGACCTCTCTATGGGCTCGGGGCTTTTATAAGTTTCATATATATATGAACTCTTAACCTATCTTACAAGAACTCTCTGGAAAAGGGAAAATCATTATGCCCATTTCACAGATGAAGCTAGGAGTAAAAAGAAATTCAGCCCAGGTAATTTGCATCTAAATCCCACACTTCTCCAACAAGACAGAACTGGGACACCACAGGCATGTTAAAGTGGCTCCCTGTTAAAGTTCCTTCCCATTAAAGTCTCCTATGTTTTGTGTTGATGCGGCGGATGGCAGAACCCATTTAGAATAGGCAGGTTGCAGGGTTTGGGCTGCCCCTCTCCCTGTCCTGTAACACCTCCACCACCACAAGGTGACCAGCCTGACCCATTTCCACTTGCAGGAGGTCAACGTGCTTCGGGAACAGCTGGGCGACCGGCTCAGCGTGGAGCTGAACACGGCGCCCACCGTGGACCTCGGCCGAGTCCTGGACGAGATGCGCTGCCAGTACGAGTCGGTGCTCGCCAGCAACCGCAGGGACGCCGAGGAGTGGTTCGCCGTTCAGGTCAGCACCGGGGCCAGAACATGACAGGCTTCCAGAATTCCGCCTTATTTGCGTTCTCTAACCTTGTGTGTGTTTCAGACGGAGGAGCTGAACCAGCAGCAGCTGTCGAGCGCGGAGCAGCTGGAGGGCTGTCAGACGGAGATCTTGGAGCTGAAGCGCTCCGCCAACGCTCTGGAGATCGAGCTCCAAGCACAGCAGAGCCTGGTGTGTAAGGGCGAGGCGGCTCTGCTTTGTCACTGAGACTCGGGCCCTGTGATGGGACACCCCCTCCCAACCCAAAGGCCAGACCCACAATTCTGAATTTCTAACTTGCAGGGATTACATTTCCTTGCCTTTTCCAAGTATTGCTGTTACCCAGCTAGAAGCAGAAGTGAGAGGTCAGTAGCTGGTATTGTCCACTAGGGTGCTCTAATCTCCTCCTCCTGGGATGACTGTGGCCCTATGGCACCTCCAGACATGGAGAGTAGGACAGAGCAGGAGCAGAATGAGAGAGGGACCCCTCAGCCAAGAACACCCCCACATTCCAGTGGGTTTTCACTCTTGATTCAGGTCAGTTATTCAAGTTCACCATCACATCTAAAAAAAAAAAGATCTTCAATCTTTGCATCCTACCACTCTCCTAAAGCCCCCCAAGGTCACACCTCAAGCTGATCCTTCATTGCACCCCACTCTACCCACCCAGCACTAAGAGTACCATACAGTCAAGTCACATTAACCAGTCACTCCCCGCCAGTGTGTGTCACGGTGGGTCCCACAGAGAGCACCAGGTGAGGGCAGCCGAACATTCATCTTGTAAGGGGCCAGGGCTCATTTAGGCCCTGCCACCACCCAGGGAGGCAGGTACTATGCATCCCCCACTTTTTATAAAGCAAAATTGAGGCTCAGAGAAGCTCAGTAGCTTTCCCAAAGTCACATGACTGGAAAATGGGAAAACAAAGATTTGAAAACAAGCCACTGGCCCTGGAAACAGCTGCACGGTCCTTGTCACATGCTCTCCTGTGCAGACAGAGTCCCTGGAGTGCACAGTGGCAGAAACGGAGGCCCAGTACAGCACGCAGCTGGCCCAGATGCAGTGCCTGATCGATAACGTGGAGACCCAGCTGGCTGAGATCCGCTGTGACCTGGAGAGGCAGAACCAGGAGTATGAAGTTCTGTTGGATGTCAAGGCCCGGCTGGAGAGTGAGATCAGCACCTACCGTGGTCTGCTGGAGAGCGAGGACCGCAGGCAAGTGTGCAAGTTACCCTAAAAATCCCCCAGACTCATGAAAAGCCTCACTTAGGAGAATTCTGTTTCCCCAAGATCTGGCCAAGTTCAGGCCTCTCTGATATGTTAAAAAAGGAGCATCTTAAAAGAGTGATGAAAAGAGGCTGAGGCTAATCATGTGACAATAGAAATGTTCAAAAATATTCTGAAGCAGTAGAACATTCCATGAGGGCTCTCCCTTTGCTCCTGTTTTCCATTAAAGGGAAGTCAGGTAAATACACAGCAAGTAACATATGCAAAGTGAAGAAAATATGTAGAATTTTATTCAACTGCTATAGCTTCAGTGAACATGAAGTGGCAATTTGGGTTCTGGGGACCAAGTAGGTTAAAGTCAAAAGTTATTCTGTGAAGTGTTTTTCAGAACATGGTTTGTAGGCAAATTTTGACTTTTCTTTTTTTGAATTGACGTTTTATCCAGGTTTCCTTTCTTAAGCTTGGTTTCAAAATGGTTTTCCCATAGGCTCCCCTGTAACCCGTGTACTGCTACAAGCACGCCAGGCAACACTTGTGAGCCCTGCACAGAATATGTACTTTGCACAGTTGAGAACTGCTATACATGAAGGGTCAAGACAGCATAGCAGATGGGAGATCAGCCTGCAGCGACCTGGAGGAGATGAGGCTCCACTGCGGGACATCAGACTTGAAACTAAGTCAAGAAGTCTTCCATGTCCTAATACTGGCTCCTGAGCATCCCGAGTATATTTCTGCTTTATCACTTACTCTCCTCCCTGCTTATTCATGACATTCTAGGAGTCTTAAAGCTTTCTTGCTCACCTCCAAGCAAGACATAGCCTTTGTGGCTCATTACTGTTGCTATAACAATCATCTGATGCCAAGGTAATTGTCTAAATCTATGCCAGTAGTTTGACTTTGTATAAACCCAAATTGAAAATATTTTGAATTCCCCAAATACAAATGGATTAGCTAAGCCATGAGAAAGTCACAACTGAAGCAAATCATAACCTTTATGTTAGCCACACTTTGTTGAGCTATAATTTGATATAATAAAATGCAGCCACTGAAAATATGTAGCCCTATAAAGTTTTAAAAATATACACATGCATGTAATCACCACTCAGATCAAGATGTAGAATATCAGCCTGAAAGTTCCTTCATGTTCCTTCCCCATTAGCTCACCGCCCCCTCAAGGAGGCATCTAACCTGGTAGATAAGTTTTGTCTACTCTTGAAGTTAATACAAATGTTATGATACCATGTGTACTCTTTGTGTCTGATTTCCTCATTTTCAACATGGTTTTGAGGCTCTTCCATATTGTCACTAGTACCAGTTCATACTTTTCTGTGGTTGAGTAATATTCCACTAAATAGTTACGCACAGCCTGTGGGTCCATGCTCTATAGATGAGCAGTTAGGTTGTTTCCATTTCGGTGTTATTGAAAGTAAAGCTGCAATAAGTGCTGCCATGCAAGTCTCTGTGTATGGTGACATTCATTTCTCAGGGGCCCACACCTGCATGTGAAATTGTTGGTGTTAGGAGATCCTTTGAGAGAAAGAGATGGATGGATGGATGGATGGATGGATGGATGGATGGATGGATGGATGGATGGACGGATGGACAGCAGACAGGTGGATGGGTGGGTAGGTGGATGGATATACAGAAAAGTAGATAAACATGTTTCTTCCTTTTATTGCCTGCATGGGGCTTACCTTTTCACCTTCTTAGTGGTACATTTTGATCATGAATAAATATTAATTTTGATGAAGTCTGATCTACGTTTTATGAATAATGTTCTCACAAACCAGAACTCTCTTAGCACAAGATCATGAAGATATTCTTCCATATTATCTTCTAAAAACTATAAATGTAGTCTTCACATTTAAGTAATTAATACTTTTAGATTGGTTTTTATACATAGTATGGGGTAGAAATGAAGCTTTTTGATAATTTTCTAGTTAATTCAGCAACATTTATTGAAAAGGATCTTTTTCTCATTGACTGGGTTGGGAAACTTTGTCCAAAAGTTATATTTCTAAACAGTATATTCTTTTTTACTGATTAGCTTGCCAGTATCACACTATTGAATTATCTTGATGACAGTAATTTAACCAGATGAATTTATTTCCTCCCATCAGCAAGAAATGCAGTTCAATGCATTTGTTATCAAACTGATATTTTTAATCTGATTGGTGGAAAAATAAAATGACCTCAACGTAGTTTAAATAAATCTTTTTATGAGTGGCAGTAAACATTTTTTCTTATTTTAAGTGCCTTTTATATTCCCTTTCTGGTCATTCTCTGTGGTATAATTGCAAATATTCTTTTCCAGCTTGTCATCTGTCTTCTGATTTTATAGGCTGGGCTTTTTATTCATGCACAATTATTTAACAGTAAATATTTCCTTCTCAATTCACAAAAGTACAAATGGAGATTTCTGAGGTGGGGTTGGGAAGACTCTGCTCTCCCCAGCAGCCCCTCTGTCTGGCATCACACTACCACCTCCACTCTCCAGTTAAACCTGGACAGTCACTTGCACTTTAGGACCACAGAGCATGAAAAATCAAGAGTATAAAGTTCTTTTGTGACTGGCTTGGAACTATGTTCATTTGTTGTGCTCAAAACCTCCCAGCCAAAAAGACAGACATTAAAACCCACGCTGGAAAGCTAACCAAAGAGCTGAGGCTCAGTGATGGGGAGGAGTCCGGTAAGAAGCCAGCAGGAAGAGAACAAATGGAGAGGCTGTTTCCTTTCTTAACATCGAATCATTATTGGAAAGGCCTTCAGACTGCAAATTTAAAAAAATAATTCAACTATGTTTTCTTTTAGCACATTTATAATTCCTTTTTTTTTCACAATTGGATATTTGATCTATTTGTAATTTTCCCTACTATAAGGCATGGGATATGATTCCAACATTCCCTAAACCCCACAAGTGATACAGAATTGTCCCCAAACTACATGGAGACATACATGACAGCAGGTCTTTCCCAAATGATTTTAAATGTTACATTTTTCATAGAATAAATCCTAATCTACTTGCAAGTCTATTTCTAGACTTCTTTTCTATTCTATTGAACTGTCTGACTATACATATATCAATAGGCATGTAATTACTGAGGCTTTAAAATACATTTTAATATCTGAGAGGATGAATCTCCTTATATCCTTTCTTTCTTAGCATTTTCCTGGCTATTCTTATTTTTTCTCATAAAACTTCAGAACTATCTTGTGGAACTGAAGTTTTAAAAGGTGACATTTTAGGAGCATCTCAACAAATGTATTGGGATCTAAGTTAAATTAGTGTAGAGATAATTGATATTTTTATAATGGTGACTGCTATATTTCATTCCAAGAACATGATACATCATTCCATTTATGCTAGTTGTCTGCCCTCCTGTATAGTTTAACATTTTATTCAAGTAGATTATGTATCATTTTAATTTAATTTATTCTTGCATATTGTATATTTGTTAATTCATTCTTCCTTCCATTGTGTGAATAATTGGTACCCAAAGATGTTTGCATCTTATCTCTGGATCCTTTGAAGTGTTAGACTAGATGAAAAGGGTAAGTCAGGTTGGTAATGAGCTGACCTTAAAATAGGAAGATTACCCTAGATTATCAGAGGACTTAAATATGGGAGAGGAACACAGAAGAGCCATATCAGAGTGATGCTATGTGAGAAAGACTCCACAGGACATGGCTGACTTTGAAGGCAGAAGGGCCCATGAGCCAAGAAATGCAGGCAATGTAATGTGAAGAGGCAAGAAAATGATTTACTCCTGCACCTCCCATAAAGGATTGGCAACAAACAACTTCCTTGAAAAAAGGGCTGAGTAAGTATTCCCCAGAAAGAACACCCATGCCTTTCAACAGATCAGATTTCTTTTTAATTTTTTTAAAGATTGATTGATTGATTGATTGATTGATTTATTTATTTATTTATTTATACAAGCACTGGGCACAGTCAGAAGCGCAGGAGAGTGAGAGAATTCACCAGAGCCAGAGCGGGGAACAGAACAGGCAGAATGACGAAATACACTGCTGAGAGGAGCAGCGGGCAAGGCAGGAGAGGTCTGTCGTGCCATGTGGGACCCTCACTGGCAGCCAGGGATCAAACCAGTGCTGTAGAGGCTGCGGGCAGCTTCGCAGCCCAGCACTCAACCACTGCGCCACCAGGGGAGGCCCAACAGATCATATTTAAACAGCAAACTTAAACCAACATCACAATAAATTTTTATCTAGTGTAATGCCACAAGCAAACACTGAACACTAGAAATATCATAAAATGTGGACTTTGAAAAACAAACCAGAAGATAACCAATCTTTCCAAGAAATTTCTTGTTGGCAATCCAACCCGACCAGGAAAGCTAAAACAGAAATCTAGCAGTCACTTTTAAAAGAGCCTTATTTAAGAATAACATTTCAATCCATAGTCATGTACCAACAATGAAAACAGGAGACTCAGTTGGGCAGACAAAAATAAAATACTGATTTCTACATTCGCCAATAATTACTAGATATTACTAGTTTCCCTTTTCCAGAGAAGAAAGGAAGAGAAGGATGGACTTGTTCCTGGTCAAGCTCATTGCCGAGTGGGGAGGTCAACAAGGACTTAATGAACTTAATCGACTCACACCTGCTTCATCATGGATGTTGTTACAACTGTGACGACAGATCCTTTTGAAGACGTAATGTGAAGCTCTGGACCCAATGACAAGTAGTAGTTGTGATGGGTAATAATTTAGTAACTGCCTACATGCACATTTTTATGAGACATTTTAATGCTCTTCTCAGACAAATAAAAAGCAAACTAATGAGATATTCCTATGGGACATGATATAAACATTAGAAAGGAAAACATCCTTCCTGCTGTGACACCACCTTGAGGGAAGGCTATATAAACACTTCAAAGAGGAAATGCCAAAAGGCTTAGAATTTAGACTCAGTCGGAGTAGCTTGAGCTTTCATTCAGTCCGGAGGACCACAGGCTGAAATAAACGAAAGCTGCGTACACACTATGGATACCAATGGCTGTGCAAGTACTTCTTCTTCAATTCCATGCCAAAGCAGTTCTAGGATTACAAATTTTAGGACCATCTCTTCCAACACCAGCTGCCAGCATGGTGATGCTGAAGTCAACAACTGTCAACCCACTGGCCATGTTCTAAGAACTCCCCAGCCCCAGGGCTGCCAACCTATGCCTTATTTCTGCCTCACACCCATCTGCTTAATAAGAAACTTGCATGCCCTTCTACCTATGGGTGACTGCAGCTCTTGTGGTGAAGGCATCAACAGTAATGAGAAAGAGAGCCTGCAAATCTTGAACAATCGCCTTGCTAACTACCTGGAAAAGGTACGAACACTGGCACAAGAGAATGCCAGACTGGAGGGTAAGATCCAGGAAGAGTGCAACAAGGAGCTCCCTGTCGTCTGTCCTGATTACCTGTCCTACTATGCTACCATCGAGGCCCTCCAGCAGAAGGTAAGCTTCTTAGAAACTGGAATTGTCAAGTCATGAGTTGGCAGTCTCCAGGCACTGGCCATTCGTTCAACTTTGGTATTTTAGTTGCTTTTATGCTGAAAAATGTTTTGTAGAGTA